GGTCATACTTTATCTCATAAGAATTGGGCGTTCGATGGATGAAAGGAAAATTATAATAACTATAGAAATAATGGAATATTCTCAGTGACAATAACGACGTGCTCAGCACACACCTCTTTAGGTAGATTGTTGTTATATTGATGTATTGCATATTTATACTTGATTAGCAGCAGACTAATGTGAGGAGGAGGAGGTACAAGGAGGTGCAGAGGAGGAGAGCGCGGCTTCATCGCGCCGCCGGGACTTTGCGCTTAGTTATGAAATAAAAATGAAAACATGTCGTGACGAATGCCCCCCGCCCCCGTCCTCGTACTGCATCTCGCCTCCCACGAGGCGGGGAGGGGGGGCGGAGGCAGGAGGGCGAGCATCTCGTAATGCCATTCTCCGGGCTCGGTGCTCGGGCCTTCAAGCGCAGTAATGCGATGTATGAAATTGCGAGGACGATAACTTCTTTAAATATTTGCGCTCTAGCGAGGGTGAATGCAATCATTTGAAACACATCTGTATCATTGGTAAGGTCTAGCTGCCTGACATCTAGCTATATTAGGTTATGTGCATTACCTTTGTTTAGTAAAGATTTAGAAAGATTGGCCGAGCTGTTTGTTAGTTGTACTAGACAAACATGCAAGATGAAACACACGTTCTGTATTAATATCTCGCCGGGTGGTGGTGATGATGCGGGCACACAGGATCAACTGAGAGACGTAACTTGAGTGGGCCGCGTCGCTGTTTGGATGCAATAAGTGGAATTGTTGCGAACTTTAATTTCTTGTCGGAAGCAGCAGCAGGAATGTGTCGCGAGAGCGGGGCGGAGGCGGCGGCGCGGGGATGGGGGCGAGGGTCTATAGACCGGAGAGATTTTTCAATTACCAACTTTGTGCCATTCGCTCCAATCTGGCTGCACAGAGCACTTTCGCAACTAGAGGCTTCTAGTATTTAAAACATAGTCATCGTGTCGTAGATATTATAATAGTACTGCAGGTCAGGTTCGTTTTGTATTCAGAACTAAAGAAGACGGAAAAAACTGTTAAATTTTATTATTGACATGGGTACCCACCAGAAAACGGTTTAATAATAACCGGAAAAGTTGATCGGTTTTTAACTCTAGTTTAGCGTATTTTCCTACGTTTTTCATTTCTATTATTATAAAAATAAAGTTTTAAACAGACTCGTAGAGTACAATTTACTTTGTAACGTGTACCTTGTCACTGCCTCTGTGGGTGTTTAGTCAGTGCTCTGTGCGGCGTGGAATTCTTAATATCAGTGCGCGCTAACTACGCCGTATAATATTGGGCGGCAGGCATTCCTCCCCCGATGCCCCCCACTGCCCCCCCCCGC